ACGCCTTTCCTGTACAACCCCGCGGGTACAACTTCCAACGCTTCGTTCATGTCTTTCTTGAGACGCCGCTTCGGCGGTGGCGGCGGCGGCGGCGACGACAGCGAGATCTCGACGCCCGAACTGTCCCGCGAACCTTCGCCCGGACCGGATGGGAAGTTCAAACGCCCTGCGAACTTGCGCCTGATTACCGCGGAGCAGCTGCAGACGCTCAAGAAGAGGGGGCAGCATAAGAAGCGGAGAAATTTTTGGGTGTTTGGTCTCGGAGGCATATTCGGGTTGTTGCTGGCGGGCTTCTTTGCGAGCAGTAATGACATGATTGATCTGAGCAGTCTGGAGGGCGTCAACTTGGAGAGCATCATGGAGGCGCTGCCAGACAACTTTGTGAAGAGCGCGCAGCAGATGCAGGTACGCGCGACTCTTGCTTCCTACAAAGGAGGATTGGAAGGGAGATTCTGTGGGTTGAGAGGAATCGAGGCTGACTGCCCCAACTCAGTAGAAATCAGAAAAAGACGCCGTAAATTACGATTCCTTCGCCGTCGGCCTCCACGCGCAGAAACAAGGCATCAAAGCCAAACACCCTGTTATCATGATCCCCGGTGTCATCTCCACGGGTCTGGAATCCTGGGGCACGGAAGAAGGGTCGAGACAGTACTTTCGCAAGAGACTGTGGGGGTCGTGGACGATGATGCGCGCGCTCGTCCTCGATAAGGCGCAATGGAAACGACACATTATGCTCGATAAAGACAGCGGTCTCGATCCACCCGGCGTGAAGCTACGGGCAGCGCAAGGTTTCGACGCAGCCGACTTCTTCATAACAGGCTACTGGATATGGAATAAGATTCTGGAGAACCTCGCTACCATCGGGTATGATCCAGGCAATGCCTTCACTGCAGCCTACGACTGGCGCATGTCGTACATGAACTACGAGATACGCGACCAGTACTTCACCCGTCTGAAGTCGCACATCGAAGTCGCCGTGCGCGTGTCCGACAAGAAAGTCGTTCTTCTCTCCCACTCCATGGGCTCACAAGTCCTGTACTACTTCCTGCACTGGGTTGAAGCAGAAGGTTACGGCAACGGCGGACCAAACTGGGTCGACGAGTACATCGACAGCTGGATCAATATCTCCGGCTGCATGCTCGGCGCCCTAAAAGACATGCCCGCCGTCCTCTCCGGCGAAATGAAAGACACAGCCCAACTCAACGCCTTCGCCGTCTACGGCCTCGAACGCTTCCTCTCCCGCTACGAACGCGCCGAAATCTTCCGGGCAATGCCCGGTCTCTCCTCCATGCTCCCCCTCGGCGGCAACGCCGTCTGGGGCGACGAGACCGGTGCGCCCGACGACCTACCAGGCCAAAACGTAACCTTTGGCCCCTTCATCCGTTTCCGAAACGCAAACAGCACGATGACGCAGAAGAACATCACGGTGGATGATAGTCTGCCCTTCTTGTTCCGCAACACAGAACCCTGGTTCAAGAAAATGATCCAAACCTCCTACTCCCACGGCGTAGCCCACACGACCAAACACGTCGAGGACAACCAATTCCTGCCCGCTAAATGGGTTAATCCCCTCGAAACGCGTCTTCCCCTCGCCCCGAACCTGAAAATCTACTGTTTCTACGGTGTGGGTAAGGATACGGAACGTGCGTATTATTACCGCAGCGACGATGATCCGTTGAGCGGGTTGAATGTTACTCTGGATACGATGTTTACCCAACAGGAGGGCAATGTGGATCATGGGGTTGTTATGGGTGAGGGGGATGGGACGGTGAATTTGCTGTCTAGTGGGTATATGTGTACGAAGGGGTGGAAGATGAAGAGGTATAATCCTGCGGGTGTGAAAGTGACGACGTTTGAGATGAAACATGAACCTGATCGGTTTAGTCCGAGGGGGGGTCCTAATACTGGTATGTCTCTTCTTCTTCTATATCCTTCTCCATCCTTTTCCTTTACCTTCTTTGCTTTCTGCTTTCTATTGACGGGGTTTGAGCAAGTACTGACGCCTTTCATCAAACAGCGGATCACGTAGACATCCTCGGGCGAATGTCCCTCAACGATCTGATACTGCAGGTGGCGGGTGGACGCGGCGAGTTGATCAACGATACCATTCATTCCAATATCAGGGAGTACGCCGAGAAGGTTAAGATTTACGAGGAGGAAGACTGAGCTTCCCTTATAAGTACAAGTCAAGCCGGGGATCGTGTATATGAACTAGCGATTCCAGCGATGAATAATTACGTTGCAAGGAGATGATGAGGGATGGATGGGTAGGGGGGCTCCGGCTCAGATCACTTGATTAAATGATCGATCGCTGGAGACTACGGAAATGATACCATAGACTACTGTTTATTCACTCGCTATACTCTTTGCTTTTATCGATGTCTTCTCAGCCAGGAGACTAGATTGGACAGGTGTGTTTTCCATTATGCCAAGGTGAGAGACGGCGGTGTACTTCAAGCTAATGGTATTGTTGTGAGGATACTTGGCTTGGTGAATTTGTGTTGGGAGTTTGTTCTCCTTCTCCTTCCCCTTCGTCCTCCACATCTACAGTAATGAACCGATAATGATGATATTCCACCTCCTCCTTCACCCCCACCCCCTCCTCCCCCTCTCCCTCCCCCTCAGACCCCCCCTAAAAGTCCGCCTTCCCACCCATAACCTTCGCCGCATTAACCGCACTCATCTTGTTCGCCCAGCCCTGCGCCGGCACAATCTTCCTCACCGTCCTCACCTCATCAGACGCATATCCTGGAATACGGATATTGTAGTTGCGCTCAAGTATAACTTGGATATCGCGGATGTCGAGCTGGGGCGAGTCGCGCAGCTTGCTAAGCTTGCACGCATTGCTGATGACGTTGTCGACGAAGTCGTCGGCGAGTTGGAGGACGGCCTGCGGAGTAGTGATTAGATAGAGTTGGGTTTTGGTGGATGGGGAGGGGGAGCTTACTTCTTCGACTTCTGGTGTTAGGGCTTCTTCTGATCCACCGGTTACCTGTCTCACGAGTTCGTCTAGCTTACGCTTGCTGAGCACACGATCGCCTTCGCCTTCGAGTTGGAAGGGGGGTGGACGTGGGATAACAGGTTGGCCCATGGGTCCTGGGGCGCCGTTGGTAGGACCACTCATAGTAGGTCGGGATTGGCCCATGTGGACGGCTTGGGGTGAGGTCACGTTAAGGTGGCGTGGGATGGGCATCTTGGGGTTATTAAGCTGCTCGCGCTCGCGACTGCCAAAGTTACCGCCCTGTCCGCCTTGCTGCATGGGTGTGTTTGTGCGTTGCGGGTCGGTGTAGGAGCGGTTCGCGGCGCTGACGGCGGCGCTGTGGGAGAGAGGGATTGGTGGGCCGGGCGCGTTCGAGGCGGCGGATTGAGGATGTGGTGAGTTGCTCTGCTGGTGCGCGTTCGCTTGCATGGGGTTGATCTGGGGTCGCTGCTGTTGTTGCTGGTGGAAGTTCTGTTGCTGCTGTCCTTGCGCAAATTGCGGCATCTGGCCTGGAGGCATCGTCTGCGAGTGAGGCCCTGGCGGAGGTCGAGCTTGCTGCTGTCCTTGCTGCATTTGTTGCTGTTGCTGCTGCGGAAGTGAAGGCGGCATCTGCTGGTTGTGTTGTTGATTATGCTGCTGTTGCGGCGGGCCTTGCTGGTGGTTTCCCTGGTTTTGTTGCATGTTGAACTGAGGTTGTGGTTGGGGTTGAGTTTGCGATTGTTGTTGGGGTTGTGGTTGTAGTGTCTGTCCGCCCTCAATCTTGATCTGCGGCTCCTCTTTCACTTGGGGCTGCGCTGGCATGTTAGGTTGTGAAGGCTGGCGCTGAGGCGCTTGGGGCTGTTGTTGCGGCGGTTGCTGCTGCTGTTGCTGTTGTGGGGGGGATTGCGCTGTGTTCTGGCCTTGAGGTTGCGCCTGAGCCTGGGGTTGCGCATTTCCCTCGCGCTCCTCCTTCCATTGCTTCTGCATGGCACGGAACTTGTCAATCTGGGCCTTGATCTTAGCAGACTCCTTCTCGATGTTGGCCTTCATCATGAGCTGTTCCTGGGGTAGTTCCTGTCCATTGTTCTGCCTTTCGGTAAGTTGGTGAACAAGCCTCCGCCTCTGCTCGTTGAAGGAAGCTTGTTTGGCAAGCATGTTAAGATAACCAGACCGGTACTCCTTGATTTTGATCTCGTACTCGGGTGTGCCTGGCGCCGGACCGTTCGTGGGTCCCTGCATGGGGAACTCGTGAACATGCTTGACGATAGCAGGATCAACCTGGCCGCGTCCTAGGTTCTGGCCTTGGTTGGGCTGTTGTCCTTGGGTTTGCTGAGTGGGTTGCGCGCCGGCACCGCCAGCTCCTCCGTTGGAACCCTGACCTCCTTCCTGCTTGACCGCGTTGGGGTTCTGCTGGCCTGCTGCACTCGACTGTCCAGCCTGTCCTTGGTTCTGATTTCCTTGTTGCTGCTGTGCCTTCATCTTTGCGCGATACTGGCGTTCGCGCGCGATGAACTTTTGCGACCAGTCCGTCAGCTTCTGACGCGCCGTGGTGTTCTCCTGGCTGCCCGGCGGGTTGTTGTTGAAGATATTCCAAGAGCCTTGCATGATTGAGCGGTATTTTTGCTTCTCGTCTTCGGGAAGACATTGTAGCTTGAGGATGTCATCGGGGCGTAGCAGCTGTTGACCTTGCTGCTGGCCGCCGCTGGCCTGCTGTGGCTGGGATTCGCTCATCGCGAGGGCTGCGGACTTCGGAGCCGCGCGTTGGAGGGTCGAGTCGTATGCGAGGTTTGATGCGGGAAAAGGTCTTGGCGTTGTCGCGTAGTTGCTGTGATTAAGGGATGTGTGGCGGAGATGGGTTCTTGGTGGGTGAAGTTTGAAGATGGGAGTGGTGAGGTTTGGAGTGATGGTCCACGGATGGGGCTAAGCACCCGACAACGACCATGTCGCGCGTTTGTACGACCGCACGTGCACGCGTCGGTCCTCACTAACACATACGTGGATCAGCCAAGCAACTTCTCTATTATCTTGCATCTAACTAATGCTACCGCTCAGATGCAAATGGAATCTCACTACTCTGGGAATCCACCTTCGAGACTTCTCCTTTTGCGAGCGCCCGCTCTCTGGTATTCCGGACTTCCCACTCGAATTCCTTGAGTGCCCTGATCTCGCTACCAACAAACAATAACCCCATCAATCCATCGATGACACCAACACTAAATCCCAATGTACTCAACAACATCAGTATGAAGGCAACGTAGTTCTTGGGTGACCACCAGACACCTATTAGGCAGCCAACGGAGAAAGAGAGCTGGTAAAAGAAATGACCTATGCGCAGTTTACGCTGTATCCTTTCTCGGACCTGGTATTTGAGTATAGTTGCCATGATCTCATCATAGACCTCGATGGGTAAATACTGCTCAGGCAGTGCCCATGGAGATAGCCGTATGGCTGACGGGTTAGTAGAAGTCCTCGTCAATGTCGCTTCGACAGAGAAGTGGTCGCTCAAGGAGCAGTGTAGTGTAGGATGACGCATCGCCATGCCTACGTTGGCTTCCTTGAGCTCCCACTCAGCTGTCTCCTCCTTTGTCTCTGGGTGGTGGTATCGACCGCTGCTGAAGAAGACGTAGTCAAGTCGCTTCGCCTTCGGGTCTGGGACGGCAGGATCTATCTGCACATTCTCGCCCTTGTTGAGACGTCTCTGTTGTCCTTTGTTCCACCGCCAGGAGTTCAGCTCACTATCGCATGTTGCTCCATTGACAGTCATGTTGAACTGCGCAGATGGTATTGGTACGCCGCGAACCTGCTCGACCTTGTCTCTTGCCGCACCGATAGAGGATTCAGGGTGTAGTATGCGCCATACGTCTCGAACAGGCGAATGCGTTTCTATGATACGGTGTGCGAGAGATAAGGGGATCATGTTGAAGTCGCCCATGCCGATGACAAGATGTCCGCGCTCGGCCGCTGCGCGCATAAGTTTTGTGATTTCCCACGCTTGGGCTGTCCGGTGACATATGTAGGAGTCGTGTGGCTCGCTTTCGTATGGAGCATGAAGCTATTGGAGTCAATTTGTATACTTTGTAGTGGAAGGAGCGACTAACATGTGTGCAAAACACCTCTGCGATATCTCTCTTCGACGGCCCCATCTGGATCCTCGCACATGCGACTCCCTTTCCCACAAACCAATCGCCACGATAGAAAGCAGCAGGCCGTCCGTTCAGAGGATACCGCACCATGTTGCTCTCGAGTATAGGCCATCGTGACAGAATGACTAAACCACCACCAAAGATTCCGCTATGATAGAACTTGCCATAAGGCAGTATATGTTGTGTCTTCTCCCGAATCGCATTGTAGTCCTGCTGCGTCCAGCACTCCTGGAGTCCGACAATGTCTGGCTGCGGACTGGCGGCGGCGATCTGGTTTCCGATTTCGGTAAGGCGCTCATTGCGCAGCTTGGAGATGAACTTGAGACCCCAGCAATTGAGCGATAGGATGCGTATGCTCGAGGGTGGCGGGCCGAGTTGTGAATCCATTGTGTAGGTTGACGCGAGTTGAATTGGCGGGTATGATGCAACCCAGGAAATGTACCTGAGATGCTGCAGGGATGCTGGGGACCGCCTGCACGCTAACTTTCCTACTGCCGATCAGTCGCGTTCCGCAATTCACTGCGCAACATCAAGCCAACTACCGCAATGGAAATGGACACTACACGGTCAACCTCACCCAAAAGACGGCGCGAAGACGAAGACGGCTACGATGATGAACGACCACGCAAACGCTCCGCCTCGCATGAACCGCCCAATGCCCCCCCTAGCTACAGGATAGCGGAAAGACCCGCGCGCCGATACAGCAGAGGCGACAGCGACGACGAACAACGCGAATACAGAGACAGGCGGCCCTCGTACTCGCGCTCGCGATCACGGTCACGCCGCTCCAGCACCTCCTCATCCTCGCACCAGCGCCGCACATCACCCTCAAAGCCCACTACTCTAAACTATGCGCCCACGCTCATCCTGCGCGGCCACAAGAAAGCCATATCCTGCGTCAAATTCTCGCCCGACGGCCGCTACATCGCCAGCGCATCCGCCGACTGCACAATCAAGATCTGGGACGCCCACACCGGCGCCCTCGAACACACGCTCGAAGGTCACCTCGCAGGCATAAGCACGATATGCTGGTCCCTCGACTCCAAGATCCTCGCCTCGGGGTCCGACGACAAGAGCATAAGACTCTGGGACACGACCACGGGACTTGCCCACCCCACGCCTTTCATCGGCCACCACAACTACGTCTACAGCATAGCCTTCAGCCCCAAAGGCAACATGCTCGTCTCCGGCTCCTACGACGAAGCAGTCTATCTCTGGGACGTCCGCGCCGCCCGCGTCATGCGTTCCTTACCCGCACACTCCGACCCCGTTGGCGGCGTAGACTTTGTCCGCGACGGCACGCTCATAGTCTCGTGCTCGCACGACGGCCTGATTCGTGTCTGGGACACGGCAACAGGCCAGTGCCTACGCACCCTCGTCCACGAAGACAACGCCCCCGTCTCGTCTGTCATCTTCTCGCCAAACGGCAAATACATCCTCGCGTGGACCCTGGACTCCTGCATCCGCCTGTGGAACTATATTGAAGGGAAGGGGAAATGTGTGAAAACGTATCAGGGGCATGTGAATAAACAGTACTCGCTTTCCGGTGCGTTTGGCACGTACACAGGGAAGGAAGAGGGTGTCGAATACGCGTTCGTTGCGTCGGGGGATGAAGAGGGGCAGGTGGTGTTGTGGGATGTTAGTAGTAAGAATGTGTTGCAGAGGTTGGAAGGTCATGGCGATGCGGTGTTGAGTGTGCATACGCATCCGACTGAGAAGCTGATTGTGAGTGCGGGGTTGGATCGCACGATTAGGCTTTGGAGACCGAAGGAGGGAGTTGTGGGGAATGTGAATGGAACTGGAGAGATGGCGAATGGGGAAAAGACAGGCGGGCACACTGAAGGTGTAAATGGCGTGGAAGGTGAGGGGATTCAGCAGGAAGCAAATGGGTTTCATCCAGATGTCCTGCCGCCGAACCCTTTTGCTGAGGGCTGAAAGGGGCCAATCAAACAGCGGTCTGGGGATGGCCAAGAAGAAGGTGTAAAGAATTGAATAGGATGTGGTGTAGTTTAGATACCCAAGTAACCAGCGTATGATTGCTAGCACGTCTTCTCTCCCTGATCCCGTTGTCCATAAATCGTTAAGCATCGAAAACGCCTCATGCTTTTTGGTATACCCCAAACGCCTCCCATGTCGCGAAACAAACTCGCGTCAATTCGACAGAAAACGCCATGAAAATGCCTACCCGTCAATCTTACCACCCTGACCACCATCTCCCCACATCTCTTCCACTCCTAAACTTCAGCTTCTTAGCTGAAGTGTATCCCCTCTTGGTTGAACGCATACAACAACTTCAAGAAATCCCCCTCGTCACACAACCGCGCCCGCTTATCCGCCAACTGCGTCTCATCCTCCAACACCTTCCTTACCTTCTCCCTAACCAACTCACTCAACCTGCCCTTCCTCTTCCTGTTCACGCCATTAACCCTCTTCTTACTCTCCGCCTGGAGTTGTTTGAAGAAATCCGGGAGTTCATCGTCCGGATCGTCCGGGTCAGAAAACCCTTTGAACTCGTCGTCAAGGTCCATATCCGCTTCGTCGTTATCTTCCGTAACTTCCGAGGGGTCGACGGGTGAATCGTCGACGGGTATGTCGTTCTGCGCACACCACAACCTGTAATTCCCTCCTAACAACTCCAACACCGCCGCCGTACCCAGGAAACTAGCTCGCAGCGTCCTGTTCTTCCTTACAAAGCAGATGCGCAACAAGCCATCCCACTCCTCATACGCAATCTGCGGCCGTGGGTTCTTCGGCTCGATACGCACGACGTTGCTCTCAACCTGCGGCGGGGGGTTGAAGTTGTTACGTCCGACTTTCATGACGTGGCTGACTTTACTCCACATTTGTACGTTGACGGAGAGGCGGGAGTAGAGTTTCTCGCCGGGGCGTGCGAAGAGGCGCATGGCGAATTCGCGCTGGAACATGAGGATGCAGCAGCGAGGGGGGTGGGCGAGGGCGAGCAGTTTGAAGACGAGGGGTGAGGAGATTTGGTAGGGCGTGTTGCTTATGCAGACGTCGAAGCGGGGGAGTTCGGCTTTTATTACGTCGCCCAGCCGGATTGTGAGACGTTTTTCTTCGGGGCTGCCTTGGACTCGTTTTGTTAATTCCGCGGCCATGCGGGGGTCCATTTCTACGGCTGTTACTTGTTTGGCGGCTTTCAGGATTAGGACTGTCAGGTTTCCTGTTCCGGGTCCGACTTCGAGGACGTGGTCGGATTGCTTCAGGTGCGCTTTTTGGACGATGGCGGTTGCGACGCCGGGGTTTTTCAAGATATGCTGGCCGAGGTCTTTGTCCATCTTGAAGATTGAGTGGGCGGCGGAGGCTTTGGCAGAGGTGGCGGCGGGGCGGGCGTAAGGGGAGGCATCTTTGTCGGCGCCTTTGCTGCGCTTTTGCTTTGCTTTCGGCATCGTGGGTGGTTATGGAGAGGTTTGATGCGGTCGAGTAGGATTTTCGTTGACGGAGAGAGATCGCGCGAGATCTGAGTAGTGCTGCGACGAGCTTGAGCGGGTAAGCTTGGCGGATGTGGGTACTGGCCGAACTTGCGATCGGTTGGCGTGGGTTGTTGGATCTGGCGACGATAATTTTTGGTGTTGCAGATCGGATTTACCGCGGGGTTAAGACATGTGAGCGCGCGACTAGCGTGGTCGCGTTCGCCTTGTGAGTTCCATGACGTTGATGCGACTTTCATCGCATTCTCGTAGTCCTTGAGCAAACTCTACCATTCTCGTATGCGAAATAGTATCGCGAACCTGACCTCAAGCCTTCCGTTTTCATCGCGTTGTCACTCTTTCAAAGTCGCCACACACAGTCATTCCCTCCTGAAATACCTATCCTTGCCGACGCGCTCCTTCCTCAGCAACCCTAGCAATTGCAGTCACTATCAGCATCGCAATTACACTCACTTCATACCACGTGCCCCTAATTACCCCACTGTACAACTGCGAACGCGCTCCCTATCGCGACCTTCATCAAATCTCCCGTCACCTCGACATGCTATCAGGAGTAGCACCCTAATCGCGCTCTCTCACCTTTACCTCGATCGCTCGCGCCCGTTTGCCGTCTACAAAAGCAGCCCTTCAGCCTTCGACCTCCGTCGCTCCTACACCTCACTCTTTGATAGCTCAGGAGCCTTAAGAAGCTTAGGAACCTCTTTGATAGACACTCATAAGCCTTTGGCTACAAGAATCATGGCCAGGAAGATCTCTAACGCGCCCTCAGACTCGTCCCTTTCACCTCCTCCTGACAACCTCATGTCAGCCACCGAAGCCGCTACCGTCACCCAACCAGTAGCGAACGGCAAGAAGCGAAAGGCCGAGACAACACCCCGTACAAGGAGGACTAGAGCACAGCAAGTCGACGTCGAAGATGCTGTTGATGCCGTCAATGAGTCGCCTCGACCCAAGCGTCGCGCTGCCAAGAAGATAAAGGTCACAGAAGAGGTGGAAGATGAAGTCATGGCCCAAGAGAGCGGTGATGGCGAGGGCAAGTCTAAGAAGGCCGTTTCGAAACGCAACAAGAAGACTGCTGCGACAAAGAAGGCTGTAGTAGAAGATGACTCAGTCGAAGCTGAAGTCGATGCAGAGATAGAGGTCGACGCATATGGAGATGACCAGATCGCGACCAAGGCCTCTGTCAAGAAAACCACACGAGGCAAGAAGAGCAAGGCCAAGATCGAAGACAGTGACCATGCAGACAAGCCTAAGCCCAAGCCCAAGCCTAAGGCAAAGGGTAAGGGCGGTACTGCAAAGATTCTACCACCACTAGCCGAACGCACCAAAGACTCAAAGCATCTGATTGGCGCCCATGTCAGCTCCGCCGGAGGTTAGTTCATATCACACTCTTATATCCTATTTGCGAAGACCACTGGCTAACATGGACTCGAAAACAATCGTTTAGGCGTACACAACTCCATCATCAACCTTGTATATATCGGGTATGTTTTCGATCTCCCACACTCACCATTTTGAGCCATCGCTAACATCCACAGCGCCAATGCCTTCGCTCTGTTCCTGAAGAACCAGCGTAAATGGGAAACCATCGAGATGGATCCAGAGCATGCCGCACTCTTCATCCAGGGTTGCAAAGACTACGGTATCAACGCTGCGGAGTGCTGTCTGCCGCACGGTTCCTACCTGGTCAACCTTGCTCACCCCGATCCTGCTCGCAAGAAGCAGGCCTACGACTCCTTCTTTAACGACTTGACGCGCTGTCATGCGCTTGGCATCCGGTACTACAACTTCCATCCTGGAAATGCCAATGCCACTACTCGCGAGGAAGGCATTCGCATCATCGCTGAGAACCTCAACCGAGCACATGCGGATCCAGCAACTGGCAGTGTTGTCACCGTGCTTGAGACAATGGCAACTCTCGGCAACACTATCGGAGGAACATTCGCTGACATTGCCGCCATCATCAACCTCATCAAGGACAAGAGCCGTGTCGGTGTTTGTCTAGACACCTGCCACGTCTTCGCCGCCGGCTACGACCTCCGTTCGCCAGAAGCCTACGCTGCAACCATGGACAAGTTCGATCAGGAAATCGGCCTGGAGTACCTCAAAGCCTTCCACGTCAACGACAGCAAGGCACCATTGTCTAGCTTCCGCGATGTCCACGCCCGCATCGGCACCGGCTATCTCGGCCTCCAAGCCTTCCACAACCTCATGAACGACGAGCGCTTCCACGGTCTGCCCATGGTTCTCGAGACCCCCGTCGACAGCGTTGACGCCAACGGCAAGAAGGTCGAAGACAAGGGTATCTGGGCACGCGAGATCAAGATGCTCGAGAGCCTCGTCGGCATGGACAACACCTCCGATGAGTTCAAGCAGTTGGAAGCAAAGCTTCTAGCCGAAGGCACTGCTGAACGCGAACGCGTCGGCGACCAGGTTCAGCGCAAGGCCATCAAGGACGCGAAGCCTAAGAAGAAGCGCGTTACCAAGAAGAAGGTGGAGAGTGAGGATGATGACGAGGAGGACATGGAGGAATGAGATACAACCACTTGAGTACGTCGGGTAGCGCCATCACAAGGGATGGGTGGCGCATGAACTATTTTATCCTCGAGATGACTGTTCCGGCTCTGGTGTTATCCCTTTGGGTTGGTCTGGCGAAAGATGGAAGATGGGTATGGGGATGATGAGAGTAGGAATAGTGGGTTGAAATGCGTTGATTTGACTGGATTTTGGCTTCGGCCTTTTTATCTCCTATGCGATACCCCATTCCATTGCATGGAAAGCATTTTCATCAGGGGGCATGCTGGGTATATACCACACGAAATCACAAGACACATATCATGAACGGTCGATAGTTCTGACAAGACGTACGTAACTGCACTGCAAGTTGCTGAGGCATCACTTGGCTCCGTAGATGCGCATCGGCACGCCTTACGTGGACGGTTACGGTGTACCCTGAGGTCTGACTACCTAGTTGGGTCACCGAGATGCCGAGGGCGGGTGCCGAGAATTCGTGTGTGCCGATTCGTCGTGTGCTAATGTGTCGCGTAGGGCGCAGTGCGTGTTAGAGCTTACTTTTCTGGCGTTTCGTATGGCTAGTGAGGTCAATGACTGATAAGGTAAGAGGGATGGCCAAGCTTGTTTGTAGTCGAGGTTCGTGGGGTTTGCGGACTTCGATTTGTTCGGAGGGATCTCGGGAAATTGTGGGGTTGTGGTCAGTGTATGGGGGTGAGGCTTCACATCTTTCAAGTCAAGGCAAGACGCGCGGATGGTTGAGTAGTAATCGCTTAGAGGACCACCTCCGGTGAAACATTCGCTAATTCGAATAGTCTCCGAACGACTGCCCTATGTCGTCGAGATGCTACTACTGCACACTGATGAAAGAAAGGATGCTTGGATGGACGGTGAAGCAGCCACACCAGCATCACTTGCAGTCCACACTGCATATAGTGAAGTAACATAAAGTAGGAACGGTAAGCATACCGAAAGCCACAGTCGCAGTTCACTGGCCGGATAGGAGAAACACTGATGCTTCTTGGAGTGTTCGAGGCTTCTGGCGTGGGAGGGGTCTATTTCGGTTCTAGCGGCTTGGCATTCCCCATCGCTCTTGCAGTCCAGTCTGCCTTTCCGTCCTACTCTACACAAGACGCATACGCGGTCTGACGACATGTGTAACACACTCGGTGGGCACGATTGAGACCACTCAGAGCAGACTCACAATACAACTGTCTGCGGCGCGTCCCAGATTCATATAAAGTCTGACCAATCATCTCCACCTTCCACCCCATCTAGCCTGATCAGGTTCCATGTCGCGAACACGTGGGGTGACGAGCGTCTTCTTCAGCCATCAGTCCACCGCCAGATCAGGGTGCCGAACAATAACCCCTGTGGACCTAAGCCTCGCCTGCAGCCACGGTATGGAACTCCCCCGAGACGCCTAACGGAGGCAGGCAGTTTGCATACATCATACACAGCATCGTTCGGCAACCATATGGCCACCGACGTGCGTTGACAGCAAAAGTCTCAGCTCAAGCTTCTCAAAATCCTGCTGTTTTTCACGTCTCATCTTTGCGTCATTCATTTCGCTTGTTGTTCATCCTTGGAAGGTGCATTATTGTGGAAGTATGGTTGGTGTTCCGAAAAGCACTGGGTGCCTCATCTGCCGCAAGAGGAAGATTAGTAAGTCGTCTGTGGCCCTCTTCCTTGCGGATAACGCCTGACTAAGGACAGAGTGCGGTAAGGCTAGCTCCACCAGAACGCCCCGACTCAACCGTTCTGACTAGTAACGATCAAGACGAAAGTTGGCCGACATGTTTGAATTGCCAGAAGAATGGAAAGCAATGTCCAGGAGCCCCCGCGCGACACACGTTCAGAGATCTCGGGCATAGGCTGAGTGGAGGCGCCACACACTCCTCCGTAGAAGAGACCGCATCACCAGGTAAGTTGATATTCAGTGCACACGACTACGATACTGATTTGTGCACAGATCCGGACAGACAATTAACACAATTAAACGAGAAGTTTGCCGACAATGGGTCCGTCACCCACAAATTCAGGATATCAAACAAGAGTTCAACACCACGGAAGCGGTCTCCACGATCAAGTTCAATCAGCTTATCTCCACCTAAATCGCCCTTTCTGAGACAACCGTCGCCATCACAGCATCAACAACTCGCACGCTCCTTGATCGCAGCTACCACAACAGGCAGTACCGGGCATCGCATGTCGGTCTTTGGTCGGTTTATCCAAGAGGTACCATCTAGGATCGGACACAATGCTGCCCTTGATGCGGCAGTGACAGTACTGGTGAATGTCCATACCTCGCTTGTATACAAGAAGACTGCAGACGAGATCGTTTCGCCAGAGCTTTATATACGGGCTATCAAAACGCTCCAGGGATGCCTCGAAAGCCAGCAATTAGGCATGTCGCCCAATACTCTCTGCGCATCAATACTTCTTGGTCTTGTAGAAGTGAGTCTTGCCTGGTTGAGCTTGCACCCGTACTTACATGCCCAGGCTTTTGCAGGTCCCAGAACAGGCAACCGTTACCTAACCCACGTAGGTGGAGCCGGACGATTAATGGAATTACAAGGGCCTTCTAGATACACGGACAGTTTTACGAAAGAGATGCTGCGCTTCAATAGAGGCGGGATAGTAAGTTGAACGAAGTCTCGATGATGCGGTCGTGTCTATTAACTCAGACATACACGAGAAAGCCAACTCAAGACTAATATGTCGACAGATTATTACATGCATATACGAACGAAAGCCATGCTTTCTCGCATCGCCAGAATGGCGAGACATCGCTTTCGACAAGACTGGGCTCAGTTTCGACGACTGCCTGAATACTGACCTGATGCAATACATGGCCGAGTTGCCTGGTATCTTCAACACATTGAAAGAGTTGGACGAAACTTACACCCTACAACCGCTCCACACTACGAGCTTTGATTTCAGCTCCAACGGCGAAGTACATAAACCGTTGATCGACACGCCCCCATCACTCGACTTCTCCACCGACTCTTTCGACGACATTGACTTTCTAGAAGACATACGGCCGGTCAAATCATCATATCCAAACAGCTCAAATCCATACACATCTCAATACGAATCTGTACGGACAGCACTTCTGTACAAGGTATATGAGCTCAAAGACGCACTCCGCAGTCTAGGCGAACACATGAACACGAAGCTCACAAACGGCATCGCCGTCTCCGAGACGCCGTCAAGAGAAAAGAACAGTCCAACACAAACAACCTACCACTTCAACAACTGGCGCGACATGACCGCCTACAACTGCTTCTGGTCCGTTATCATCCTAACGAACAAAGTCCTAATGCGCCTCCTCCCACCCTTCGACCACGCGCGCTATCAACTCAAATCCGAATGCCGCTGCGCCGCCATCGAGATCTGCAAAACATGGGAGGACGCATGGGCCAGCAGACCGATTGGCGCATTCCACACTGGCTTGAGCTTTGTTGTGGCATACGAATTTTGCATACCGGAAGTTCAAGCGTGGATAGTAAGAAGTTTGAACTCTCTTCTGGATTACCATCAGGTCGATGCGTTTCGTTGGTCGGACGAGGTCATTGTTAGTATGGCGCAGAAACTTGCTGGGGAGGGGCCAGCGGTTGCGTTCTCGAATGTTAGGGTTGAGGAGGAGGGGCGATGAATGGTATTCTCTTCATGTCCGCAGCTTTTCTGGCAACTCATGTCTTGCCGTTAACTGAGGCGCGATCTTAAGGGATCCGGTTGAATCGCCAAACCAGGACGGATTGAAGCTCAACCACGGCGGCACACAGCAATGATATATGAAACTATGACACCAACTTCATGATGCGGAAAGATGTTGATGGTTCCATTCAGTTACCGATACTCCATAGGAAAACAAGCTCGGAAGATGCCCTAAAGAGGAACGCAGAAAACATAGCCTACACCACCTTGACCTCGCCCGCCACACGGTTCACCGGTCAGCTCTATAGACCAGGGTTCTTACAACAGCCACACTCCTCACTCCACGCAACAATATCGTTTTGCCTCAATGTGCAATGCGAAGACCCCGAGTTACTCATCCACTCTACGTTACCACAGTGCCAGTGCCTTGCGTCGTTACAGTAACAGGGCTCTGCTGACTGACAAACACAACCAGCACAGCCGCATATGCCGCTGTAGCAGCAATGACGTCCTTCCTTTGCGCCGTTGTCAGGAAGCCTAACCACCCGGCGAAAGTCACGACGAATGCGGTGACGGTAGCCAGTTTAGCGACGGTGTTGTCTTCTAGCCGCCACAGAACCCACATCGCAGATATCAAGAAGCCGATTGAGATTATCGTGCCGACGAAAGTGACGAATTTCTGCATCTTCTGTTCGTTCACGTATGTTGCTTTGTCGTTTACGTTTTCGTTTGCTTCTTCGTCTGCTTTCCTCGTTGCTTTCTTCTTTGATTCGGGGGTCTGCAAGAATTAGGCTTCCATGGGAAAAGGAGGATAGCAGGGCTAACCCAAAAGAGAAACGGCTAGACATACTAGGAAGAAGTGATACAGCCATTTATCGACGAACTTGGAGATATAATCGTTCTCTGCGGGAGTGAAGAGACTGACGAGATCGGGTCGTGTCATCTAGCCGCTTTTTCCTTTCAACCGATACTTCAGCCTGTAACCCCACCATGATTTACCTTCGTGGGATCCTGGGGTGGAAACATATCGATCGATTGCTTCCACTGTTCGTTCCGCAGGGGGGTCGAGATGTAAGACCTGACTGTAGGCCAACAAAAGGTCATCTGGAACACATATGAGCAGATTTCTTGAGTAATTCGGATGTAAGGCAGTGTTATACAATATTCCTTCACAGTAGAGCCGACCGCATTACCAAAGCCTCCAGCTTCCAAGGTCTCCGCATATTCCTGACTCCCAATTTTGCCGCTGGTGCAAATGTTGTGTTTCTTCTCCAGGCCGTCTAATTCTCTGCTCAACAGAAGGAGCCGATATACGGCAAGCTTGTCGTATCTTCGGAATACTGCGGCAGCCTTGCTGGAGTTGTGCGCTAGGTAATCGGCAATGAAATGGGGATCCTCTCTCCAGTGTTCGCTCTTGGATCGGCCATCATTGGTGTTGCTGGTTGGAGGATTGTTCGCACGCAGTTCAAAATTCTCCTGTGGGAACACTATCCCTACTGGAGACACCGGTTCGGCAGCGGGTTCGTCAAGAGTAATTGATAAACCCCCCGCTAATGATGACGTTGCGCTCTCGTTGTCCCTGCGAGTATCAGGTCTATCAGACATGGAAATAGGCGAAACCGGATGCGGTGTTTATGCTGACTTTGAAAGGGTGTTTGATATGGACATGAGAGTTTGACAAAAGGTTTTCAGTGTCTCTGCGTCAAATCATGACACCAAGCTGCTTTATCAATGCAGCCTGGAAGACAAGGGCAAGGGCCTCGTTTATCTGATCCACACCGGTCAATGTTCATTTTCAGCTCCGGAAGCAAGGTTGTTCGAGTCCAGTGAGCGTGAAGTAAGACAGCCACATCACCTTGTATACGACATGTTAGGAATAGTTTAGGTTGCACAACAGCTCACTAACGCATATGCGTACTAGGAGAGTTCGTGGCGCAGGTGTTGTCGCGAAGCTGAGCTCTCAGCCCCGCTCGTGCCATGCAACCAGCCCCACCACTTTTCAGTTGTCCTCTTGAAATAAAACGGAACGAGACCTTCACGATCGACATCAGTGGTTCAAATAATTTTCCAAGAGCACGCGAATCTGCATCTCAAACCTCTCTCTTCCTCATTCCAGATGTCTAGTCCATGTCAGCGTTAGAGATTGGTCCTATGGCAGTACCGGCAGTACCGGCAGGTTACGATGAATTCGGTCCCGACAACGAGGTTGAGGATCATCCAGCAGGCATACACGACGATAAACCCCATCCAAACCACGGAAAGGACAAGTTAAAGAAGTGGTTCAGGTCTCTGGGAAAGAGACGGAGGGATGAAGAGGAAGAAAGGAGTCAATGAAGATGGATGGAGAATGCGTCAAACATTGTTCGTCATGCGCAGTCTCCACGGAAGAACGACAGCAATGGTGTATCAAGAGAATCAAGCGCAATGTCGCGCGTCACAGCGCACCCGACTCCCAGCCTCGTCAGCTCCTGGCTTACCGACAAGATTAACATCCGGAACCAACCTGCCTTACAAGGCTATCTGGACCCTATTTACGGCGGAGGCCTAGCGTCTGTTATCGCTACCTCACAGCTTGTGTATTCATCGATAATCATCCGCTGCCAATCGAACGAGTACAATGCTACCGGACCGCTGCAAAACCCCGCTTCACAACTTCACATATCCACGCCTGCAAAGCAGCGGCTGAATCTCGGTAGAGAATTCACTGGTTTTGACCCCATCGGATTCATAGGTTGTCCGCGGGTGTCCTGTCGATCCGAGAGACCCATCAGAAAAGGAGCGAGAACTGAGGTTAGAAGGTTGAAGGGGCTCATTCGCAGCTCTCGGTGAGGCAAAGGTGCTTGGGAGTCTTATCGATTCAGCCTGAAAAGTGCCTATGAGGCTGTCGCTTATTTTGCCCATGTCCGGTCAACATTGGTTTTCAGCTCTGGAAGCAAGCTCTTATTTTTGACCAGTAAGCGTCTGCGGAGGTCAGCCACATCAGCCCCTCGCAAATGATATAGGCATGGATTCAGCCGCAAAACATCCTGTTTAGTGCTTGATATTGGAGCGTTGGCGTAATAATTATCGCAAGCTGAGTGTTCGCCTTCGCTCTGGATGTCCGCTTAGTTATCTAAAGCTACATGCGTTTTCTCTTTCTTATCAACACCCAGCCACAGTAGATCAGGTCGGCTGTAATGGCCACAAACATCCAAGAAACCTTTTGCCTTCAAAATATCATCAAGCTGCAGTTCTGCGTAAATGAACCCCTCTTCTGTCTCTGGTGGACCATCAGCCACCAGGCGCCCATCCGGGCCAAAGATAGCTGAGCTACCTCCACCAGGGGTATTCATGGTGACGCCGGAGGCTGTCCGCAGTGTAGCGATGCCTGCATCACTCATTACCGCTGTAGTATGCAGAACAAAGGATTGCGACTCCATGGCGTAGACTTGGGAGAGGCTGCGGCAACCTGTTTACCAACTACATTAGCTAAGGGTGACTCTGCTCGTATACAATATGATAACACACCTTCTTTGCTCATGGAGTACAAGCCTGGACCGCCATCATGATCGTACAGCGGCGGCCACGCAGCAACATGTATGGTTTCTCTCTGATGGTAAGTGTGGTATTTGAGCAGTGGTTGCGTATGCTCCCAACAAGCCAGAGCACCAACGCGTCCAACGTCCGGCAGCTCCACGACGTTCTGGAGAGCAGAGCCCGATGCATCTCCAAATATCGTCCTTTCCATGTGCGTCGCTTTCAGCTTCCGACGCAGAACTTCGATACTACCCTCGGCATTGATGATAGCTTGTGAGATGTAAAGCGAGCCTTTGAAGTTCTCGCTGAACCCAAGCACAACGGCGATATGGTGGTCTGCAGCACTCTGGCAGATGCGACGCATCTCGGTTGAGTCTACATGCAGAGAGCTCTTCATGTAAGCTGTCGAGAGCTCGAAGTCTATGGGCCTTGACCTGGCACCACATATCAGCATACCTTGGAAATCGACGAAGGACAGTTGTATTCGCGAACGTACCATATCCAGGCTGGATAACCTGGAATCCAACATTCGGGGAACGACACAAGTTTTGCGCCGTTCTCTGCTGCCTCGCGGATCAAACGGCAGGTCTTCTCGACAGCTTTTGGTAGGTCAAGCCATGCTGGCTCGAACTGAGCGACAGCAACGCGAACAGTGGATGATGGTTGATGTGACATGACGTGGATAGTGTGTTGAGCGTAGAAAAGTAACAGATATCTGATCACGTTGTATTTCGAAGAGGATATTGATTGCGGAAATACAAAAGACCGTACATATCACTATGGCATTAGCAACGAAATGACTGCAGCCATCAGATAAGTGGGCACGAAGATACAGAGGTTCACTAATCTTATACAGCAACACAAAAGGCGGGGCTCCTGACTGCTAGCAGCGGAACCTTCCCGCTGGATAGCCAAGACACGTCCAATCAGGGGTGTCGGCGAGCTTCGAAGCCGACATGTCTCTACACCGGCAATCTTACCTAGGTATCTTTGATTTCGGCGCTTCTCTGTCGATAGACGGTTTTCTTGATGCTAATAGATGTTTAATTCGACCGAAAAAATGCTCGGCTGCGGACATTTGGCTCTGCAAGTACTATTCGTGTGCGGACTGTTGTGCGACATTTACTGACTTCGTGTAGCAATCTTTGAGCGACTGCCCCAATTGCTCGGTTGATGAGTGTCACATATATCTAGTTAGTTCCCCAATACACTCCACTGCTCTTCCCGCTTTTCTCCACTATTCATCGACTCTTATCCAGCAATCTCAATGCCGCTCTTCATTGTTGAGCCTGCCGACGGCATGTCGGCACCCACCCTCGGCATCTCGGTGACTCGTCTAGGTAGTCAGTGTAGCCATCAGATACACGCGTTGTTCAGGAGCATGCGCGATATCGCAGATGCCTACGGGACTGATAGATGCTGACAGTATTTAGGCAGCGATACAGACCCAGTCTTCGACACAGCTCTCAACGCCTCGCTACCGAATCTTACAGCTTCTTCCTTATTCGCGATTAAACTGTCTAGTTTATTGCGATATTTACTCCAACGTTAGGTAATCTCCTACTTCGTTAATCATCTCTAGCACATCTTTGATTGCTCATAAAGATATGCAGTCTGCCCAGATGGTCTTCGAACCGTGTAGCTTTGCGCCCATCTAGCGAGTTCGCATACATTTCAGTAAATCCGGAACCGGGTCTTTTGATGAGAAAAAACATGGATGAAGCAGCGAAAGCCGCAAATCTGGGAGAGCCCCGCAGTGCGGCTACCGTGTTTTAAAATATCGTTGACCTCCATAGATACCACCAGTGCGAAGCGGAGTGAACATGAGGACCGAACGAGTCCAGATACTTCTACAAGGAGGATGACCCTTGCGACCTTTGGTCAGATGCTGGTCTGAAGTATCACAGCCTGCGGAAGTACATCGATCTGATGGAGAAGGATGATGTCTTGGGGATTCCGACAGAGGAAGGAGCCGCTCAGTAGTAGACCTGCTTTAATCCGCTAGTGTCCATCGCTCCAAGCACCACATTCCCTCTAAGTCATTCCTACCTTCTCTGTCAGGCTAGTCGTAGTTCGCCGAGGTCGTAGGATATATCATGCCACCTGGACACCCAGCAGCGGCCCGCCCGCGGGTGACAGCCCAACTAGGTAGAAACATTACCACGAAGGAGCAGTATGTCTTACTTATATCTGACTTGCATGCGGCTACCAGCGATGCGTCATCAAATCTACGCTTACTGTGGGGGCGAGAAAGCATCTAGCTCTCACGTCGTGGTCCAGACGCTGACCCGTTTCTCCACGTGTGGACCGTCCCATCGGTACAGGCAAGCCACGGCGGCTATTATACAAGACATCAGTCTTTTGGCTTCCATCGGTTAAGTCGTGTCTCCAATGCCATGGAAAGCCAACGCACTCATGGCCCTGATGGAACACCCTTGCTTGCCCCGGGCGCCTTACACATCAACTTGGCTATGTCGGCGAGGTCCCCACTACCAGGGCGGGGTGACGGCCCGCGACACGGTCTCGTAATCTACATGCACGATCGCTGCAAGATCTGACCAGGACGGAAGGAAGCAAGATGAAGTTGTTTGGTATGCAGAAAACACGAAGCTTTTTATTGTTGTTCTTTTCCGTCATATCTAGGTATGCATGCATCATGACATCATGTTTAACATCGAAACCAAGAAAACCAGCAAAACCACAAACCACAACATGCAAACGCAAGGGCAAAGCGAATGCGAAAACATTATCCCCACTGAAACAACAGAAGAAGCCAAAAAAGCGTGGAAGAAAGAAAAAGCAACAAAGCCGTTGCAACCGTCTGCGCCACACGCGCTACTGCCGCAGCAGCAGCAATAGTAGCCGGCACGGCACAGCCCTAGTCTCCACCAACATCAACTTCGACTGGAAGCCTTACATCTGGATATTGCACTTCTTCTTGCACTCCGCGGATCCGATAATAGCTCCAGTGCCCACTTCAGGGATCATTTCGCCGATGCTGGCGGGGTTGAAGGATGCGTCGCCGAAGCCAGCGCTGATGACGTCTTGGGGGACGGACCAGAGGCTGGGCAGGATGTTGAGGGTGCCGCTGTCGTCGCTGTTGAGGGCGCTGAGGAGGAGGGCGGGTTCGCAGTCTGTGGGTGTGTGTGGTTAGTAAGAGGTGCATGTGATCTAGACCGGGTAAGATGCAAGGGTCGTTTCTTGGATCTTGAGGCTGAGAGCCGCATCCCCGATCAGGAAATAGATAGACGGGAATGTAGAAGGGAGTGTGGAAGACATACCATTGTTCTGCATCATGTGCAGACTTCCCTGCGGGAAGATGGTAACGCGCATGGGGATCATATCCACCTTGCGTGTCTTGACACCATTCTCGCCAATCATGTAAGTCGTCGTGTTACCCGAGATAGCAGTAACCAAGTTGGTAGCCCTAGGGTGCAGATGCGGTGGCAGCATACCGCAGGGAGCCAGCTTGAGAAGAGCCATGCTGGAGCCGAGGCCAGTGAGAGCAGGGAAGCTAGCAGCATTGGCGTTGATGACAGCGCCGGTGGGCGAGTCGTAGTCTTTGCTGGAGTCGAAGTCGAAGTACCAGTCTTCATCGGCAGGCAGAAGGGCGTTGCGGTCGAAGTTTGTGGCGGCCATGCGGAGGGCGGCGTTTAGTTCGGGGTTGACGGTGGAGGATTTGGTGTCCGCTGCGGTGATGAGGGTAGGGAGGAGGGAGGTGAAGAGGAGGATGGTCTTGGTGAACATGGTGATGGTGGTGGTGAGGGTTTGTGGGGTTGGGAGGGAAGGTTTGAAGTGTAGAGTGTGGGAGGAATGAGTGCTTGGGATATCGAGATGTTGAGACGATGGGTATATGCTTTTATATACCGACGGTTGAACAACAGGACGTGATGTTGGCAAGTGGGGCTGATAGATCTGGGAAGCTGCAAGGCAATCGATCGTATCGGCAAGGGTAGAGAGACGGAATAAGGCGTGCTGACTTTGGGGCTGAGTTGCGATGATGGGTAAATTGTAGTAAGCAAGTGGTGGAGTTTGTCGACTTCGATGCCGTCTATCCAAGTCATGCATGCGGACTTATATAGATCAGGCGGCCGCATGGAAGGCTGGGACTCGCTGCAGTGGAGAAGACGAAGGGCCAGGGCGTGTTCGGTAGACTGGACTGCTGACCGCTCTGTCTTGCTCATCGTCGTAGGCTTTCAAGCCACTGTTACTCTTGCCCGGTGGAGGCGTCGCTAGGGAGGTTGATCGGTCATTGGAGCGTTCCTGACTATGGAGCGCCATTCCGTCCCAGCTTGTGTCGTGACCAGCTGTCAGAATTTCCTCGTTTGAGCCGAATATGTTTGTTGATGGCACGGTTGCTTCCGACGGGCTGCGCTGGTGGTTGCTGCATATAATGCATCGTGAAGAATATGTGAGAAGCGGTCCGACCCCGGGTGTTGCTGCTTCTGTAAGGTACCTAGGTACATAGGTACATCTCACTTGCCTGCAAACCCGGTTTGCGGATCGATGCTCGAGATTCGCACCATGTGTGCGGCCGCATTGGACCAGGGACCGGGATCAACATAGCGCGTGGCGTAGCTTAACTAGAAGGGGATGTGTTAGATTGCTTTGCTGAGTTCTCCGACTGTTACTGGCAAGTTGCAGCTTTTGTGCGAACTCGCTTGTAACGAGAAGTGGTCGTAGGTGTGTGATGGAGCTTCCTCCATCACATGCTATTTGTTGATACGACCTCTACTTGGGAAGATACGCCGATTTAGTGTAACAGATTGAAGCTTGTGAGCATTTCTTGGAGGTCGTAGACGTGCTGTTGGGGATGAGTGGGTCCAGGGTGGTGCTGCACATCAGTCGATGGTCGTAGGCCCTTGTGCGGCCCAACAGCATTCGAGCTACCACCAAGCGGAAAAATACGTCGAAATCTGACAGGCGCCTTACATGGCTGCGTCAGGCGCCCCTTGGGTACAGACTGGCTAAAAACGCCACAGTTCTACCAAACGAGGCGGAGCTTAGTCAAGATTGTTGGTGGAGGAACGTCGATATTCTTAGTGACACGGTCGCACTAGAAGATTGCGCCATTGGTCGTTCAAACGCTAAGTTTCGACCAACGGCAATACAGATGTGCGTGTAATTGTGGAAGAAACACAACGCGCCAGTCACGTTGTGGCCTCGTTGCATTAGCTTTGCCGTCTTGGGCGGCTATGCTTTGGTGTGCAGGGATTGGTTAGCCCGACGCGAGTTTGAGAAAAAGATGCCCGCATCGTTGCGCAGTATCTTGTGTAGCTTGCTGTGCAGCTTTGAGTGCGTTGGAGAAATGGCTTACCTAGAAGAGAAATGTTTTGGTAGTATCACAATCGCAACGGTACTTCGTCCAGGTCAGAATCGGTCGCGGAGCAAGCGCAGCAAAGGTGTAGCTCTAGATTGATCGTGACACCAAACATGTTGGCCTTCGTGGATCTACCTCAGCGTTTCATGTAGATGACTTGAAGAGTGGGAAACCGAACAGGATAGTTTTGGGGACAATTTAGGTCGTGAATAGGTAGAAGGAGTGTACGCTATGCCAGACGCCCCGAGCATCTCCGGTCTTTGGAAGTGATGAGATTCTAGCATAGATCTCGGGGCTTGAGGTTCACAAGTCCACGTCGTCCCATATTGGCATTCAGTCCCTTCAATAAGAGCCA